AAGATGGTGCTAGGTGATGAGTGACTTTTTAGGAAGACCCAAAGTTGTGAACTAAGAACACAGTTAATTTAAGTCAACTTTTCAAACACTATGGCTTTTGGTGTGAGGACAATAGCTTAGAGGTGTTTGGAAGTTCTGTTTTCTAACTGGTTTATGAAAATGAACTAATCATTTTACATATCGTATATTTGTGACATTTATATTTGAAATGGAACTACCACATCCAATCGCACTCAATGTGACTAAAGAAGTCGTCACAGTGCAAAGAGCAGTAATCCCAGTGACTAGAATCCCAGCATAAGCAGGGTATGCCAAATCCTTGAAAGTTCTAGATTTAAATAATGTCTTAAGCAGACAGATGTACAATTTTGATATATGTTTCATATCAATAATAGTTAATAATTGTCTTTATTATGTAAGCAAAAAAATAAGGGCAGTGTGATTTAAAATCTAACCTCTAACCAGTATTAGAATTATAATTTATATATAAAATTATCAGTGTTTTATACTTCATCACAGTATTATATGTCAAATAATATAATATTGAGCTTTTTCCCAAGTTTTCTATGTTTTTTCTCTATATTTGCTTATATAACCAGCCAAAGATGGTACCTGAAAGTGACATAGTTAAGGTATTTTTGACTTTATCACAGCCTTTAATTCCTTCTTTATCTGCTGCATTTAGATTTCAACTGTAATTTCAGAGATTATTTATGATGACGCTCTCCTCCAATTACTTGTATGCAAAATTTACCTTGAAAATAAAGAAAAAAGTGATGCAACATTTTCTCTCTTCTCAACTTGTTGTATTCCTCCAACCCCACAATCAACACAGGTTTGTATTCAAAGTACATCATCTTGTTGCCCACAATCTACCCAAATGCTCTTAAATATAAAATTCATACCTTTTATAGACTCTTCAAGAAATGACTCTTGGACCCTCATAATAAATAACTGGAGAGGATGAGGGCATCTTCTCTGAACTGTATTGAGAGTTGTTAGTCAGCCTCTCTGCCTAGATATATCCAGGTATTAGGCTACTGAACTATAACATAACCTGTACAGCTCCCATGTTGCCAATGGTGTGCAAAGAATATTTATTTTAAAATATAAATTTAGCAAGTATTTTTCAGAAGTTCTAATTTGGAAAGCATGGATATCACTTCCAGATAACCTAATGTATACTATAGTTACACGGCAATAGATTGAATCTCTTTCCACTCTGGCTGAAAGACCTAGGTTTTGTTTTAGATTTCCAAGACTAAGCTAAATACGTGTGGAAGTCAAATGAGAATCCTGGTAGGTAATCTCCAAGATAATGAAAAAGAGTAGATTATGACTTATTAAAGAAATGAGTGCACAAAGAATTTATGCACTCATATGTAAGAGAGAATGTCTTCAAACTGCCAAGGAGGGAATCAGCAGGATCATAGGATAAAGCTCCTGAAAACCTCATCTATATTCCCTACCATTACAAAGGAGTAGAAGACAGTCTCAGTCAACCTAAAGTGTTAATCAAGACAGTATTTTAGTGTTACAGCAAATGATTTCTGAAGTAAGTACAGCTTTATATTTGTCTTACACTGTAATGATTTATACTCTTTAAAAGTTGTAGATGCTGGAATAATTAATACTTTAATTTAAGGAGAGCACTTAATGGCCCCTACCTCAGTAAGTTTGAAGCTGCTAATTGGGATAATAGGAAATTACTTGTCTTTTTCCAAATGCCAGCAAAGTAGGTCAGGATAATTAATATTCATGCTGACTTTTCAGTCAAAGGAAAACAAGACATGTCTCATCAGTATACTTTTAGTACCATCTATTTCAGCCTGAGAAAATGGTCACAGTGTGACTCAGTTAAATAACTGAATTCAAAAATAAGACAAAATGTAGCTCGACCATGAGAACACAGATTGCAATCTACACTATGGAAGGCTACATTTGCCCTTCATAACCTAATGTTAAATTTCACAACTTCGGAAATCAAAACTATTCAAGGTATTGATTTAGGTACATCTTTTTCTTTGGAGTTCATTGCAAACATGTGTCACTTAAAATATAACATTATATGAATTGAGACAAAATAAATTATAAAAGGAGTTTGGTTAATGATACTTCTTTATAAAACAGTTTATATTGTCATGTTTTCTACTACCCAATTTGTTCACCTGTCGAAATACTTCCTATTTTAAATGTTTAGGCAAGATATAAAAAATGTTCTGAGCCAGAGGTATAACACTCAATTCCCCTGCACCTATGTACATGGTTAGTCCACATTCTCTTTAGTAGATCAAACTGAATGACGGCCTCAAGCAGGATAGAAATATGCTACTGAGAGACTGAGTTTTGCAAGTTTGCATGGCTTGTCTATCTGTGTGGCTACATAAATGAGTGCTCTGTGTCAGAGAATGTACATGTAAGTGTGATGTTGACATTATGTCCATGGATTCTTGTTCTGTATATAATTTGTTTCTGGCATAATACCAAGCAGCTCCATTTGAATAAGCAGCCTTTGCAGTTATTTCTAAGGACCAATCCACACAAGACGTGATTATGACATCCTTTAACTAGATCCTAGATGGTGTTTTGAAAGTAGTGATTTTTAAAATGAATCCTTCTCCAAATGAAACATTCATCATGTTATACAACCCTAAATATTTAGAAAAAAAATTCCTCACCATTAGAAAGGTGAATATACACTGCACTGAATTAGAAAAATCTTCTAGGCAAAATGGGATGCAGTGCTCCATGCGGAACAGTATGAAGTACACAGAAAAAAGTCAAATAGGAAGATTTATGGAGTACCCCAAAAGAAACAGGTGGGGTCTCAAAGATAGTACATAACCATTTTAGTGAAAAAAAATTTAAATTTCATGGACTTCACAGTATTGAACTGTAATGACAAACGTATAATATTAAATTTATTGACAAACTCACTAGAGCTGTTATAGTTCAGTGAAAAAGGTTTACAGCATCAAATACTTATGCATTTAATACAATTGGAACTGAACTTAAAAGAAAATCCTATAAACACAGGGGTACACCCATACACCCCAAAATAAATCTTATACACAGAACAACAAAAAAAGAATTCTTGAAGAAAAAAATCAAAAGCCACTTAACTAGAGACACTCTTTGGGCCTTTGGAAACCATGTGCATGACATGATTGTGTCTTCCTACCTCTTCCCAACATGATGACTAAGACAAACTCGATAAATCACTTAAAAATATAGCGTTGATGACTCTGCCTATAGAACTGATACAAAGTTTGCTGAACAGAATTTTCTCCTCCAGAACGTAATGCTGTTTAACTGGCTAAGAAGGAGGGTTCTCCTTCCCCAGGTTTTACATAATAATAAACAAAAGCCAAATATTTATGCATAGTTATTATAAAGCACATGGGTGAGATTTAAAACAAGTTTTCTAATTAACACTTAAATTTTAGAAAATACTTTGTTAATCTGGTAATCATTACAATAATAATCATGTATTAGGATTGGTAGAATGCTTATAAAAGCATAGGGTGATTCCTAAGTATTCCTTTTATAAGAATCTTCTATAATCTCTGATAGATACGGATGTTGGGGGGGGTCTGCAGGTGATGATTGCTAATTACCTATCCAGCACAGTCATATTTTTTGTAATGTTTCTTTTGGAGACTGTGCCTAAAATATACTTTACACTGAAACTGCCTTGGCATGTGAATTTCATTATAAGACCTTCTTATATCACGTTTATGGAAGAGGTAGACTACCCATCAAGTCATGAGAGCGTAAGAGGCTCTCATTTTAAAGGAACCAAGTTTCACACTGAAATGAGATTCCTGACCTGTTAGTAACTTGTAAACTAGGGTTTTGTTTCCCCACTAGTAATGAAGAACTTAGACTAATGTATCCTATAATCAAAGTCCCATATACTTGATTAATGAGGTGAGTGTTACATTTTATTTGTATCTTCAAAAGGGGAAGTTGCTACCTTAAAGAAACCAAACAAATAATTTGTTTAATCATCTTTGGTTCCAGTCTTCTGCAATAATTGACTTAAATTGTTTTTAAATAAAAGGTTTAATGCTATTCAACTACAATGTTTTCATCTGACTTTTGAAACTTACAGACAGACTTTTGATTTTTAAATAACCGAGTTATAGCCTTTCCCTTAAACAAGGCTGGGTTTCTGAACCAGTGTATCATGATAGTCATAAACAGAAGCTTGGTATTGATATAACAAACTTGATAGCTAGTAAATAGATTCAGATTTTCTTTTTTTTTTAAGACAGAGTCTCATGTAGCCCAGATGAGCTCTGAGTTTACTATGTATCTGATGATGACCTCAAATTCCTGACCCTCCTGTCTCTACATCCCAAGTATATAATGTATGTGTCACTATGCCTGACTAAGAACATATTTTTAAGGTAAAACACCCCAGAAGGTTACTGAATTATCTCTGTTTCCTTTAGAGTTGATACCCATAAACAGAGTTTTGTAGCCAATGTACATACCAACAAAATAAATGTATGATTCTGGTTTCTAGAAAAAAGTGAAGTTTTGGATGGTAAATGCTGTATGAAACTTCTTTTTGTGGTGGAGGGAAGTGATTTTTGAACTTTTCCTTTAAATCCAACAGTGAGAGGAAAGGTATAAATACATTTGTGTTAATGCTGGTAGGTTTTGTTAGCAGCCTGTTTGAAACATTGATTGTTTCTTAATCCAAACTTACAGGGCAACCACTGTGGACTGGCAAGGCGATGCATGAAAGTGAGAAGTGAGGAGGCAAGAGAAGAAAGTAAAGAAATGAAAACCGTCAGCAGTAAAAAGCAAATGGGAATTGGGAGAAAAAGCATTTGTTCTAGAGGTGCTTGTCCTGGTTCATAAATTAGGGAGACCTAACTTCCTATCCAACATGACCATTCTTTTTTCCCCCAACGGAAAGAACCTTCAAATAAGAAATTGAAAAGTTACAACTGTGTACACAGGCTAAGAATTTCCAGAAACATACTTACTTTTCTCTCCTAGGTTTTCCCCTGCTGCCTCCCCTTCCTCCTCTTCCTCCTCCTCCTCCACCTCTGGTGGCTGTATGTCATCTTGTGGGTCACAGGCACTAACTGGTGCATTCAGACAGCAGTGGTTGAAGCCGCTATCTCGAGGCAGAGTGAAACTTCGTGGCTTGCCCCCGTTGCCATTTAACACTTGCATCCTCTCACTCTCAGCTAAAGGGTATGGGCCGTAGTGATCCTGAAGGTGGCACTTCTGAGTGGGAAGAGTGGACTGCCGCCTGTGCTCAGGGGAGATGGCTGCCGAGTCAGAGAAGACCGAATCTTCCAGAGGCAGAGTCTGAAGATAGTGTAAGCCCGAACTTGTCAGCGGGGTCTCGATTAAATCCTGCCAGGAGCGGCGCTGACTGGCGGTCTTGCGAATGGGGGACACCACACTGCTCCCAGTAACTTCCTGGCGAAACTCCTCATGTGATGACTGAGACTGAGAGGTCTCTGTGGAGGACAGCCGGCTGTGCTTTGCTTCCACATAAGGACTGGCACAACTCATCTGTGGAAAGGAGCCCCTCATCAGTTTCCATGGAAATAATAGACCATTTCGACTGTTAAAGAACTTTCTTTTTACCACAGAGCGTTTACACGAATGGTGCCTTACACAGTCAAGTACGAACAGAGCAAATTTGCAGCCATCTCAAAGTTTAGGCCCAGTTTATACTTTCAGAGTTAGGGATTCAGACATCTTGAGATATGGATGTAACAGTTGTCCATGAAACATCTGATACAATAGGACAAATCTGATAATAATGGAAGTATGAAAAATTGTAAATGTTTATGTAAGGAACACTCAGCAACTAAGCAATTTTAAAATCTCTACATATTTTGAAATTCTAAGGAAAAAACGTCCTTAGATTCCTATTTCTGGATTTCAGGCAGCTTGGGGGTGAGTGAAAGAGAGAGGATTTTGTATGTGAGAACAAGTTGTCCATAAACAAAGCAAATTTTTGGCTTCTTCATAAGTAAATGTCTGTTTCTATGGGTACCATAGAAAAGCTGTCTGCTGGTCTTGTCAATTCTGTGGTAATTTCTGGGGAACTGTAAATACAGGTAGGATGAAATTATAGTTTGTTGGGGATTAGCATTTTCTGTGAGTACAGACACAATAGAGCACATAAAAAGGAATATATCTTGTATATGAATTTAAAGTTTGGGAATATATAATATAAAAGAAGGAAGAATAGCATCAATAAAATGCTATAAAACATTTTTTTGTGTAGCACTCTAGCTGGGACAAGCTTCACTCCAGCTCTAGACACTAGCAGGCTAGCCCAGGTGCCTTTATTCAAGGAACTACATTCGTTAGTCACAAATGGGGTTGAAGTGGCAGCCAGGACAAATTTAGCTGAGGTGAACATACCATCTCTTTTGGAAAAGGGAGAGAAATTACTTAGCATCATTCATGGGCAGATTGTTTCCTTCCAACATAATAATTAGTATGAGGGACAACAACTTAACAACAATAAAATGAACAGTTTCTTTCCAAGATGCTACTGTTGTTCAAAGGAAAAAAGATACATTTAGCAGAAGAATAGTGGAACAAGGGTGCAGAGGAAATACTGGGGACTGGAAGATTTAAGTGGGGATGCAGAGGAAATACTGGGGACTGGAAGATTTAAGTGGGGATGCAGAGGAAACACTGGGGACTGGAAGATTTAAGTGGGGATGCAGGTAGGAGGGTTGGTGAGCAGGAGGCAGGGGTAGGGTTAAGCAAAACTAAGGATATATTTAAAATGCCATGTGAAAACCTATTTGTTGGTAAGATAATTAAAAATAATTTCAAAAAAGTGAAGCTGTGGTTCTCCTTTCATCTTTTAGAAATCTCAAAGGAATCATTCAGATCCTGGTGTTTTTAAAGAAAGGGAAAATATTAATTACTTGGAATAATGCACAGGGGTTAAATTACGTTGACTGGTATAGTCACATAAACTAGCTTCCTTTTCCTTTGTGGAAGACTAAGCCCCAAGTTACACAGAATTCATTATTTTGGTAACATGACTGTAAATTAAATGGAGACACTGACATACTCTCAGTAATTTTGATGGGAAATGGGCATAAATTGGCATAGTCTCAAGAAAAGTAGGGTAATTATTTGCCTCAGCTAAGGACTGAAGTATTGTCTATACGTAGAGTAATTTATAGATTTAAGAAAATTCTGTAAGAATTCTGGAGCACCATAAATATATATGTAAATATATATATATAAATATATATATTAAAGCAGATACCATGGCTATATCCAAAATATGTATACACACATACACACACACACACACTCACACACACATGAGCATATGCTTTCGTAGTGCTGGGGAATCAAACTTGACACAAGCTAGAGTTGTCTGGGAAGAAGGAATGCCAATTGATAAAATACCCATATCAAACTGTTAAGTAGGCAACTTTGTGTGGCATCTTCCAGATTGATGATTGACATGGGAGGGCCCAGGCCACTGTGGGTGGTGAAACCCCTGGGCAGATGGCTCTGATTTGTATAAGAAAGCAAGCTGAGCAAGACAGTAAACAGAGTTCACCAGGGCCTCTGCTTGAGTTCCTGCCTTGGCTTCCCTCAATGATGATTATGATCAGGACTTGTAAACCAGATAGACTTCCCCAAGTTGCTTTTGGCTATGATGTGTTCTTACAACAATAGAAAGCAAACTAAGATAGCATATGATATCTACTACTGAGAGATACTTCCAGCACTATAGTGCTAATATTTACCAGTTGTTTCTAAAAGACATAAAATTGACTTTATAAGTACAGAATCAACTGATATCTTTTTCAAAGGAAACTTTTTTGTTGTTTTAAACTCCCCTAAATGATATGAATTCATTCTGCCAATACCTGTAGTGATCATTTACCCTGGTTAAATATCCCTTGTAAACTTAAACATATTTTCCTTCTGATTTTAGACAACCAGTTTTCTTTTCTCTATGAAATCTGTTTGACTCATAATTTAATATACTTTCATTTTAACATATAAATGGATTTAAATCAAACTGTCCTGCCAAGTACTAAGCAAACTCATGTTTAACTTACAGAGGGAGGCCGTGGGTATGTATCATAGGGGGGTGGAGGGCTGTCTTGTTTTGGTGTTGATGGAGTATCTGCTTCTTCTTTGTCACTCTCACTCCAGTAATCTGAAAGTTTACAGACAATGACACCTCAATGCTTCATTAAGTATTTATAGCCATATTTGTCAAGAAAAAATAATACCACTTAACAAAAAAGATTTAAGTTTTCTACAATTATATTCATCATCACTGCCCTACCCAAGAGTCATCAAGTTTCATTTGTAGCTGTTTTGGAAAAGAAAGAACACAATGACCTAATCCTAACTTCATGAAAAAGTAATGGCACACAGTCTTAACAGAGCTAAGAAAATGGTACTCTATAAGCCAAGACAGGTGTAGGGTATGTTTAATTTTAGAGCTATTTTCAGAGGCATGAATTGATAAATACCACAGGATGTTTCTTAAGGTGTCACGTTACTGGGACGGATACTCAAAGAAAAGCAATATACCATGTGCTGCTGCATATCTTCTCTGAGATAAACATCTCCAAAATTAATGCTCTATTTTTTTTGGCTTCAATTCATTGGTTATCTAGCAATTGCTGTTTTCTAGAGTCTTGGTGACATGGATCTTTATAACACTATACTCCCACTACCTCTCCTTGGAAAGACATGACAAAATAAATCTTGCCAAATGAAAAAAATGCACACTTGCTGATGTGTGCTACAAGCACCAAATTTCCAGAACTGCTTAAAAGAGTAGGAGATACAAGCTGCTAGACAAAGTTACTTGACAGAACTGAGGCAAGAGGGAAGATAAAGAACTCTGAGAGATAAATTAATATTGTAAGTCAAATCCAACAAAGGGTCAATAATCAGAATCAGTTAGACTATATATGTCAGCCATAACTGCCGATTGATTCTTATGTGAGTTGCAAGCAAAGAGTCAGGATGATTACTACAGCAATTTCAGGTGAGGGAAGAGGTGTTAACAGAAAAGGAAACTCGTATGAAAATTTAGATCCTAAAACAACTACCATAAGACTTAAGCAGTATTCAAAGTCAAGTGAAAAAAATCACAGCACATACTTTTGTAGAAGCCCTTGCCTTTCTAGAAATTCTCAATTATAATGTTTTCCTGTGGTGCTGACTAAAAATGAGTGCAACTAACATTTTTTTTTCATAAATTGTTACATTCCTGGTAGGAAATAACAGAGTTGGATTTGAACTAAGAACCTGCCTTGACCCAAAGCTCTGATGAGATCTAAATTTCTGGGACTCTTGCTTGACACATCAAGAAAGTTTAATGTTAAGTATAGGGATGTGATTTACTCTTCCTTACCTACTCCTGATTTTTAACTCCTGCTACTGTAAATAGAAAGTCTCTGGTAATAGATACTGAACATAAAATAAACCGCCCCTTCTATTCAGGCCTTAAAACACAAGGACCCTGACAACACCCACTGAGGAAAATACAGTGTCTAATTGATCCCACTTAAATATCTTTTTTTTGGCAAACTTTAACTCCAGTGCTGAGAAGGCTGACCCAGAATTTTAAGTTTGAGATCAGCTTTGGTTACATAGCTAAACCATGTCTCAAAAATCCCAGTGGACATAAATGAAGATACTGGACAATGACTATAACTGAGTTCTACCTCAAAGATGAATTGACATAGATACCCAGAAACAGATCTATTAAATAACTGTAGAAAAAGCATGATTGATATTCAAAAGCAGGTAAAGGTTCAATTCTTCACCATACAACTGCTTCATACATTGACATTCTTATAGGCACAATTTAACTCCATTGTTGGGCCTATTTTATAATCTGTAAAAGAGCAGTTAATAATAACAACTGGCTTTTGTAGTTGGATATGTGGGAGTACTAAATAATGTAACATATATTCAAGTGCTCTGTACCTTGAATACACTCAAGAGTTATTAGGAGCATTTATCTTCTTGGGTGTATTTGACGATTTTATGCCAGGACAGCCTGACACAGATCACAATGACAGCAAATGCCTGATGTTCATTTTCACAGATATTCTTTTTTTTCTTTGTAGCATTTCTGAGCAATGAAGAATGAAATTGAAGTCCTAGGGTCTGGGCAGTTTTGTGAGAGTCTAAAATCTTCTTGGAAGTCAATGCTAGCATTCACCTTCCCCCACCCCACAGGAAGTAGTGAGCTCGCTAAGATCATTCTACTCTTATCCTTCCTACTGTTTCCAAAAATACTGGCTGAGTTTATCCTTAATGTTTGCATTGATACCATGGTATTTTGGTGCAATAATACCTCAAGTGGTCCTTATTAGCACATTGGAAAAGGAAATGACTAGCATTTATCCAGGATTCCATAGCTGTTACCATACATATGGGATTCACAGTATTTATTTTTCCTCACCAGTTAAATTAGGAAAAATTCTAATCCGTTTGATATCATTTTTGGATTATTAAAAAACAGTATCAATCTAAACATTTTCTGGGTTTCTTAAGAAGAAGCAGAAATATTAGTTTACAAATCAACTTCTTATGCTAAGCTGGAAGGGAGAGAACAATGCCAGAAAAAAGGCAACACTGAAAATCTTAGTCTCTTGGGACATGTGGAATATTACATACACTGTAGCTTAGTGGATGAAACCACTCTGATTTTTTCTAAAAGCAAATGGAATTTTTAGCTCTCTAAAATAATATAAATATATATTTTGATGTGTCTTGAAAAATATCAAATTTTGTAAGTAATTAAGAATAAACAAGGCCATCAGTAGGAGAGGGAAAGTTTTACTCATATGTTGTCACAAAGGACATATTTTTAAAACTTGCTCTTATTTAGAACTACCAAAAATATACAATATAGGTCACTCACTTTTTGTAACTAAAACTTTACAATAACATCAAGGAATTATTTGTATGGTAAAACATAAAAATTCCTTTTTTTCCTAGACTTTCTAGATATTTCCATTATCTATATCCATCTTACTGGACAATTATACACCAGAACTTTTAGTCTTTCCTCTTATCTAAATATAACAGTACCTGCTCAATACTTTGTCTACTCTCTACTTGTTCTTCACAGTCTTTGGGTACTAGCTCTCTTTTTAACTTTAAAAACTATATCGTGTATGGAACTTAACTTCAGCATTAAGAATTACTCAGGAGGTATCAAATAACTATAAAAGAGTGGAGTTTACATTGCATACTCATCCGTTTCCTAAGTAGAAGACCAAGGGACTTAACCATATATTAAGTAGTAAATCTAATATACTTCTGATGGGTGTTACAGTGCCTTTTCACTCTGTGGAAACAGCAAGTATCATCATCTGCCTATGATTTTTTTCTACCAAACTTTACTAGGCATTAAAATATATACTTACACAATGGAGCAAGGTGGCATGCATCCACAAAATAAATACTCTTTGGAACTTGTACACACAATATAAATAACCTCTCCTTTCATCCACAATGAAACTTAGTTCCATAACAATGGAAATTCATTATAATCAACATTATGCCCAACTTGAAAGCAACATCAAGTAACAAAATTCTGAGGCTTGAAAACAAAAGTTCTGTGATACATACAACTTGATTTTTTTCTAGCTTAATTTTCCTATCTAAATATTACTCATATACCCATGTTTCCAACTCTTATATATTTAAACAATCATATAAAAACAGATTTAAGGAGCTACTTCAGACCTTTTCAATAAAGTTGAAAATGAAGGCTGATGTTTTTTTTTCTGTAGCACTCTTACCCTGAGGTTTAAAGGTGAGGAAGGTTAAGCCACCAGACGCATTTACTACATTACAGTGTTAGATGAGGTTTGCCTGTGCATACTGATTTGACAGAGAAGGCTTCTACATTATTTGAAGAACTGTGCAATCTGCTTCCATTCTGTGGAATATTGGTGTTGTTGCCTTTGGTTCACACCATTTCCATCTCACAAGAATGAGTTCAGAAAACAGAGCCAGCCAAAAGTGTTTCCCACATTCCCTTCCGGGAAGGACTCTGTTTATGCCTTTTGTCCCTGGAAGTTGATTTGAACGTTACTATGTTTCATTCTCTATATTGCACCAAACTTTCCCTTTTTAATGGAGCCCAGTATAGCTGCAGGAAAGGTGCTTACATTTTCACACAAAGGTGCCACTGATGGTCTTTTGCAGAATTATTTTAATATTTAATAAAATATTTTAACTCTCTTTACATTATCAATGCTGTATCAAGAGTCACTGATGATAGTCTTCAAAATATTTTTCATTAGCCCTGTCTTTTTATGCAAGGCAAAAGTGTAATATGATTATAAAATAAAAGGTATTTCTTTACCTTGTTCTTGTTTAATCCTCTCGCGCTCTGCATATCCTGCAGTCAGCATGTTAATTCTGTTAAGCCACCTGGAAAAATAAAGAAATCAATGATAATTCATTTACTTGTTAGAAATACTTACTGCAAATGTCTAAGAAGTTACAGGATAACATTACATATAAAATATATTCTTTATTAAACTTGAAAAATAATTGAAGTCTTTAATAGGCAATAATTTACTGTAATACAAATTGTTCCCAGACTGAAGATGTAAATTCAAGGGAACAGTTATGCAAAGCTGTTAATGTGTGTAATATAAAAGGTTTTGAAATTATCAAAGTCATATCAATTCTTCTCCTCCAAATGTATAAACACTCCAAAATATGCTTGCTCTATTGTGTTTTTCAGAACAAATGATCCTTGGAGACACTTTTAATAGCCAGTCTAATTTATAGACATAGGAGAAAAAGTTACAGAGCTTGCCTGTAAAATTAACAGTTTTACTATGAAATACTAGTTTTTAATGCACTCATTTAAGCTGAATGACCCAAGGGGAAACATATCACAGAAATATTTTAGAATCTTGTCTCTAATGCAAGAGTATTTAGCTTGCCAAAGAAAATACATATACAATTTTAACCTATTATGATCTAGAAAACATTTTCATGAACAATATTAAGCTAATTTTTCTTAGTGCTTTCTTCATCAAGTATTGCTGCTATTGTTAGTACAGCAAAATGCTATTTCAGTTTCTTTATTTAATTCTACCAGGAATCTTAGTTACAAGGATACACACACACACACACACACACACACACACACACACACACACACACACACACACTCGTGCATGCGCGCACACATATATGTGTATACAGATCTACTAGGTCCTGTTACTACTGGCATTGCATATTATTTTAAAATTTACAGTACAAATATATATTCTTTTTTACTATGTTATAATTTAATAAAAATAATGCCCTTTGAAGGCATAAAAATCAGAAAAAGTAGATATTAACTATAATTATGTTCATATAAAATATATCCTCTCTTGAATTAGGCATGTTTTCAAAGATTACATATGGAATAAATCAATACCCACATTATCTTCCTAATGTATAATAATCAGGTGACCAAACAAAGCTGTATATGGGTAACTTTCTATATCACCACTAATGTGTAAATGTTTTTAGCACTGACTATTTTATCCCATTAACAAGCATTTTTTTTCCATAATTTTGGTTGTGAGCTTAGCCTTTAATGGCTGAGCCAGCCCATGGAAGGATACTCTCTCAGCCTAGATACATGGGGGGTGGTGGTGGTGGTGGTGGTGGAGGGGGTGGGAGGGTTGAGGAGGTGGGAGCCTAGGCCCTGCCCTAAATGATGTGACAAACTTTGATGATTCCCCATGAAAGGCATCACCCTCCCTGGGGAATGGATAGGGGGTGGAAAGTGGGGATTTGTGGGGGGGCATGAGAGGAGGGAGGGAAAGGGAACTGGGATTGATATGTAATATAAGATTGTTTCTAATTTAAATAAAAATTTATAAAAATAATTTGAAAATTGTCTATTGAAAGTAAATACTAGGGATAAAATTATGAACCAGCACAATTTTTGTGCTTAAAATATTCAGGTATCGTTTTAGAGACATCCAAATTAAAGTAAATGAGATACGAGGACAAATGTATATAAACACTAATACTTATTACTACTGAAGACTTAGGTAGCATTAAAAAGATCCTACTAAGGGCTATTTTTTCTCATTTATATAAAGGGGTCATTTATTTAGTACAGAAAGACTAAGCTTCTTGCATAAAATTACAAAGCTAATAAGTTGTAATCTAGGATTCAGTCTTGTCTAAAGGACCACAGTTCTGGTCACTAGACTTTGATGCCTCTTCCTAAGTGTAGGGAAATTATATGCAATATGCATTAGTTTCCACAATTATAAAAGGGAGCACATTTTCATTTTTATACCCAGTTTCTATAATTTTATAAATAGGAAAGGAAAATTAAAAGAACGAACTAAAACTGTTATGTGAGACAATGTGGGATACAAAGAGGAAACTATATGTAGGTTTTCCTTCAGCCACCAAATAAACAGAGCCATCAAACCAGTGATGTGACAGATGAAGGTGATAGGAATAATTACTACATTAGATAGTAGACCTAAATTATTGAAATGGGATATTTTATCAAATATACTTAGGACTTGAGTAAGTCAGGTTTTGTGTGCCTTTTAGAGCATCTAGAAATACATGTTAAGAAATACTCCTAAAATATAATATCTAAAAACAACCTCTTTTGTGGTAATATTTTTAATTTATATTTGCTATGGTACTTTTGTGGTAAAATTGACAGTCAACAAAAGTTTGGGTTCTAATATGTAATTCTTTATTATTATTTAAATATGAATTGCATTGTTTGCAGGTGAAATTTAAATAATAAATTAGGCAAATATTTGTGTAAAATTAAGTATGACCATAGCTGGACTACTCAAATTTTAATTAATACAGAATCTACAATGAGAGCCTTTAAGATTATTGAAGACAAGGCCTAATTACATAATTTGAGATATAAATAATACTTTACCTGTTCATGTCATCAAGATGTTCAGCAGCAAAATAAAAGCTTTTGATTTTAGGATGGCAGGCTTTGAATGCACTGTGAACACAACCACAACAAATGCGTTACATTTACTTTTTTTAAAAAAGGGAAAAGGTTTTAAATCAAATATCTATTAGAGCTGGGACAGGCAAAAGGATGTGATCAAAATATATTGTCTGAAATTTTTAAAATAAAATTCTAATTTGAAACTGGTATGGTGGCACACACTTTTAATCCCAGTACTCGGGAGGCAGAGTCAGGTAGATCTCTGTGAATTCGAGGCCATCCTGGTTTACAGAGAGATCCAGGACAGCCAGAGCTACAGTGTGAAACACTGTCTTGAAATAAAACCAAAAGTATTCTATTTTGTTTATTTATTATTAACATCATCATCACTGGTGTTTTTATGTATGTGCACATGCAAAAGAAAAACTTTTGAGAACTGGTTCCCTCTAACCAAGGATTCTAGGGTCATTAGGCTTGCATATAATCATGAGACATCTTGGTGGCTCAAACTAAATAACATTTATGCATAAAATTAATGCTATGTCTAACCTAACTTCACATACATAACACTTCTATCATGACAGAATTAAGTAAAATTTCATGCTGTGTCCTTGAAACTACTTTCTTATAATTTTAATTTCAAATCATCAGATAAACAAATTATAACTTAAAATCTAGAAAATTACAAAATAAATTATCCCTTCTTTCCCCTTTCACCAAGTAAAATTAACTTACTATTTCTTGCGGCATTCACTGGCTCTATCAATTTTAAATTCAGGCAGACTGATGAATCCTTCTGCTTTTTCATCCTAAAGAAATAAGATTTTTGTTAGTGTTATCATACCAAGGAGGTCTAAAGTTAAATAAACCATGTAAAAATGACTTACATATATAGAGTAATAAAATGCTACTCTCAGCTCTCTGGGCATTTGCTTTTTTTCTGTTATTAATGAACTATGCTAAAGTTAAAAATTTGAGCTATAGGTAACAACTGAAATTTGTATGCTATATACAGAAGCAGTGCTAAATTTTTGTCTTTAAATATTTTTACCAATCATGGGTTAAAGAAAATGTTTCCATTGACTTCTATCTTACGTTACTTTTGACAGCCTTATTTTACAATTTGAAATATTTCAAAATATTATCTCATCTTAATGATGAAACATATAAAATACTCTATTTCCTGTAAAATAATAGTAAAGCTTTCCTGGAAATATGTTCTACAAAATTGTTCATTTATAACTTTATATGAATAATAGTAATAACAACTTGCCAATGATTGAAATAAAGGTACTATTTAATAAAATGGACAAAAGAGTTTTACCCTTGTAGTTTGAAAGATAAAATATGATTTAGTATATACAGACTGCCTTATAGATTTACTTATAGAAAAACAGATACTTAATTTTGATACTATTTCATTAGCACATGAATTTAGCATATCTATCAAATAAACATGTATATTTGCTTACTATAGTAAGCAAGACATAGTGTAAACAGATTTTTATTTTATTTCGTTATATGACTGCCACAAAATATCAAAACAAAAACAATATTTTCACATAAGCATATAGGAAATTAAGATCTCCCAAGTAAGTCTTTTATTGATGAACATTACTTGAACACTTAGCATTTTGTCAGACATTATTTATTCATTTCTAAGAAAGCAGATGAAGAACTAAGCACAGTCTCTCAATTAGTGTAATTCTGAGTCTACTCTTGCCCCATGGTAAAAGACAGCAGCATAATAGATTGTTCAGGGAACATAATATTCTCTAGATATTGAATGCTACAATCAAAGGTCTAATCATTATGGTAACTTTAAAGAATCACTCTTCAAATAACATGGATTAATGTCTTAGGGTACTATTGGTATAAAAATTACACACATACACACACATTATAATAAAGCAGTAGATTGGTATAGCAAACAAGTCAAAGCAATGTCAGGGGAAAATCAATGAATAAAACCAACTTTGGCACATTTGGTGAGATGCATGATTGATTGTCTCGATACAAATACATTATACCAAACAAAACTAGAAAAGTCATAAGAACAAGTTGCTCAAATATAATGGATATTTAATTTCAAAATTATTTATCCTTGGCATACATATGGACTTTGGGTGCCCAATCAAAAATGAGGGATGCTCTCCCAGCCTGGACTCTTGGGGGAGGGCCTAGGCCCTGCCCTGAATGAAATGACAGTTACTGGAGATCCCCCCCTGGAGGGCCTCACCCTCCCTGGGGATCAGAGTGGGGATTGGGTGGGGGGCTGCGGGGCCTGGTAGGAGGGTGGGGGAGGAGGGGGAGTGAGAGGGAGCTGGGATTGACAAGTGAAGCAAGCTTGTTTCTCATTTAAATTTAAAAAAAGAAAAAAATTAGTCTACTAGCTCATTTTTTCTTCAGGAAAACTGAAATAAGTTGAAACAATACTTACTTGCTTAAGCTGCTAAGTAGACCCCCCCTTCCAAATAGAAACAGAAAAACCCTATAAAACTTTGAGTAAGAGGTTTTAAAAATCTCTGTTTTTAGTAAAGCTACTACATTAGTTGCTTGGTCTCTTTAGAAACAGAGAATTTCACTATATTTTAACTGTGTTTCATATATGTTGCTACATTAGAAAAATGGAGCAACTGTTCTTCCAGAATACTGAATATGGATCCTGAATTGGCTTGGGGAGAATACGAATTAAAATCAAATGGCGCAAATGTCAAACACTTTTTGGTACAGATAATGAACCAATGAGAATACAAATGTGTTCTGCCTTACCTCTTCATTAATATACCAGTATAGGGATGCATCCTTTAGGACAAACCAGTACTTCTTCCATTTCTGTGAAAAATAGCTCTTTGCATCTTTCTTTTTCCAAAGCCATCCCTCACAGTCACCACGGCCAAGATCCTTGCAAGAAATTCGTCTTTTGCTCTTGCCTGCGATAGCTCCTAAAGATAGAGTGGTAATATTCTTAATTTTGGAAAGTGCATAAAGACAAAAGATTAATTCATAATCTTAAAATTATCATTTTCTAGTTGCGTTATCACAGATAATAGGGAGATCTTTGATGCCTTCCTTCCATATAGATGACAGCATAATTGGAAATACGTAATTCTTATCTCAAGACTCTGAGGCCATATGTTATCAAAGGTATCTGCATAGTAAGTGACCCGAAGCACACTGGCTTCAAGGCAATGAGAAGACTAATGAAATGTGCTGATGATTAGCACAGTATAAAGGAGGAAGTTAAAAGTTCAATTTCTTTTATTACCTTTGTTTTTCTTCTTTGATTTGTGCTGCAGAGAGGACTGTTGAAATGTCTGAAATTAAAGATAGGGAAGACTATTACCTTATATGCAGAGTGTGATTCAAAGCACCATAGGACTCTCACAACCTGAATGACGACTCTTAAACCTAGGTTAGAGAAGTACTTCTCCCCATTAATATTTTAAAATAAGTTAACATAATCAGATTACTTAACTTTCTCATCTTCCATGAAGCAGGAGAAGACCTATCAGTATCCTTATTTTGTTGACAGATTTTAGGGTAAACACACTGGTGAAAGTATATGTTCTCTCCCCCATAACTGGTTCCCTTGAGAGACTAATTGTTGTTTCTAACACAATACCTCATCTGACTCTCTCATAATCTGACAAACCAGGAGGCAAACGTCTTTCTCATTTCTGTCTCTTTTAAGTCTCTACATCTATAAGCACTTTGATAAATATTTTAATCTCATGCCTACTTTTATCAGTATTACTGGTGACTAATCTTGTCAGTGGTGTCAGAATCCCAGTTTCTCTTCTCTGCTTCTGTCATAGGGACCTTCCCACTTCTCAACTATCAACTCTTACAACTATATGTCTGTATTTTGAACATCTCCCAGCCAATCCCTCTAATATTTGTTGATTATAATGTCCAATACCACTGTCCTATCAATGAAAAAATATTGTCATCTAAATCACTGATCATATCTACATATTTCTGTCCTACCTTCATTCCATGGGACATTATAATGGTTCCTGTGCACTATTCTCTGCATTTATTTATAACTAGCTAAACAACTCAATACTAAGTACCTATATAACAGTTTACTATGTTTGGAATAAAAATCAAACTGAATCGACTCACCTAGCTTCCAATTAATGACTTTACTGGCTCTACTCAGATGATACACATATAAATTGCTCACTGCTATAATAAGCTTAATTATGATTAGCTAACCAAGATAGAACAGAGAATGCACTTGTGAATAATAGATTTTTCTTTTTCTACATAAATGAATAATGGTCAAATAAATTTTGATTATATAAAATTTTCTGGTGTATTTATATAATAAATGCATAGCACTATTTAATATATTTGATCCTAAAATAATATATTTATATAATTTTTTGTTGTGTGTATGATTTATAAATATCTAGTACATAAGGATGGGCACCAGCTATAAAGAATCAGATAATCTCTTAATACAGTATAAACCAAAAATATAATCATCCAAATGTCAAAGCACCATAAACGTCTGTTTGTGTTGTGTTGCATGCATATATATATAAACATACATATAAGTGTATGTATATATATACAAATACATATAAATGTATAAACATAGTAACCTTTGTAGGAATCATGACTATAGAAATTCACAATTACTTTCTGAGAGACAGCATAAAAGTTAAAACTCATTATGCATAATGGTAATTCGGGTTAGTGTGCTTAAGTATATTTAAGTATACTTAATTTACATATGATTATTTTCCATATATTGTTTTAATGAAATTCATTCAGTTTCTTCCTTTTGTGTTCATGCAAGTAATCATTATAGTTTTATAGCTCATTACTTTGAACATGACAAAGATGGAATGATGTCTATTTTTTAAGAAGCTATCAATATTAATTACAGCTGGTAAGAATTGGGTTATTTAATGTTATATATTTTATGCTTCTTTCTTTAGATTATTTAGAGAGCCCCATGCATACTTGAAAGCTTCCTATTACTAAGCTATGCCTGAGGCCTCCTCCTATGCTTTATGTCTAATATTCCTTAGAGGCTCGAGGTCTTTCTAAAAATTTACATAAAAATGTTTTATGTTCTCCATGTTTTCTTTCACCAAGATAATCTTGTCGTTCCCTATAAATATTCATTACTTTCATAAAGTTCATGATTTCAGAGTACTATATGGTTGAAAACTAAGAACGTCCAGGTATGCAATACAAATTCATCCACATTCAAGAAGGAAAAGATCAGAAGTTTTATGAATTTGTAAATACGAGAGATTATTTCCTTATTTTTCAAATGACCTTTATAGTTTCTAAAATGAAAGGGTTAACTGCTTTAAGTAAAACTTTTCTGGTTCATGCTAAAATAAATATCTCTTAGAGGCTCTTGCATAACTGACTGAGTATTAAATTATATTTTTATGCTCAAAATTATAAAAATACATTTGAGTTACAGTTTGGCTGGGCATGGTAACTTTTAAAAGGGTCTCACTAGGTAGCTCAGGCTGGCCTCAAACTCTAGATCCTCTAGTCTCAGCATCCTGACTGTTGGTATTTTAGGTATGAGTCACCATGCTAAGCTTCATATTAGCAACTGGAAAATTTTATGTTTTGGCATTTATTGCTGCTTTTAAGACATCTATATCTACTCAAATCTCCTGGGTCAACTAGGGGCGAGGGGGTGGCAGTTAAAGGTGAGGGGAAAGTGGATGAGAATATGAGGGAATGGGATGATGGGGGCGGGGACAGAGTGGGACAGCAATGAAAGAGATATCTTGATAGAGGGAGCCACTATGGGCTTAGCGAGACCTGGTGCTAATTCCCAAGAATCCACAAGGAGAACTCCAACTAAGACTCCTAGTAATAGTGGAGAGGATGCCTGAACTATAGTCAGATTGGTGAGTACCCCAACTATTATCATAGAGCCTTCATCCAGTAAATGATGGAACCAGACACACAGATCTACAACCAAGCCGAGCTCTAGGAATCCAGCCAAAGCAAGGGAGGTCGAGATCATGATAAAGAAATCTAGAGGGAGCTGAACCAAGTTCGGGGAAACTCATGAACTCTAGACAGACAGCTGTGAAGCCTTCATGTGACCAAGCTGGGCCCTCTATATGTGGGACACAGTTGTGAAGCTTGGACTATCTGAAGGGCTCCTGGCAGTAGGACCAGGATCTATTCCTGGTGCATGAGCTAGCTTGATGGAGCCCATTCCCTATGTTGGGATAACTTAATGCAGGGAAGAGGGACTTGGTCCTGCCCCAACTTAAAGTCCCAGACTTTGTTGACTCCTCCTGGGAGCCCTTACATGTTGGGAGGAGTGGATGGGGGTGGTCTGGTAGGGTGAGGGGGGTGGGAGGAGGGGTGTGAGGGAGAACTTTGGTTGAAATGTAAAATGAAATTTAAAAATGGCATCTAAATCTACTCTATTTTAATCTATGCTTAGTTTTTTGTTAGCTTCTAAGATCATTTTCTCTTCACTTATATTCTATAGTTTCATTGTCAAAAATATAATTAATTCTAATATTATTTGGCATTCATTAGGCTGTATTATTTCTTTCAATCTGAATATTTTCAATTATTATTCCTTTTAAATTTTGTCTTTACCAGCTCTCTTTTCTCTAGACGAAGGTTGGCATGTGCCAATTTATCACCTATGTGTATTTCACATTTTCCCTTTCATCATTCTCCATTGTCCCTAAGTAAATTAATTCTACTTTTTCCCTTCCTATTTAACTCTCTCTGAATTTATCCAATCTAAACTTTATCTAATCTGTTATACTTATTTAACTGACAATATTTTTACATTTTGAGAATAACCTGTTAGTACTGACTCTAAAACAGCAACTGACTTTGAATTTTGTGTTTTATTTTGAAATTTAAGTGCTTTTGTAATTTTGCCATATTTACGTTTAGTGTATAACATATTACCTGATTGGTCAGTTCACTGCTCTTGCTTAAGTACTATATTGTACACCAGAATTTTAGATTGAGTAGAAAGTTCTTTCTTTTTTGCCTAGGACTTTTGCTGTCTCCTGCCTCTATTCCTTGAATCCTTTTGGAAACTAACCAGGACTTTTTTTTGATGACATCGCCTACTGTTTCATTCATGCAGTTCAGTATAAGAGGCTCGATCCGTGTTTCTGAGTAAAGGTATGTTATTGCATGCTGTTAACATCAGGAATTCACTTTAGTCAGTGGTTGTATCTTTAGCAAAACAAAATCACAGATGTGGAGCCACCTCTCTTTGACTTTCTAGTTTCATCCAGAGAGTCAATTATTAGTTTCTGGACACTGCCAAGGTCAATTTGGTTTCAGGTTCTCATTTTCTACTAGATACAAAGCTTTAGTGCCCAATTATCAGATAATTTTTCCCTTTCTGCTTTTCGTGTGTGTGTGTGTGTCTGAGTTTAAAACACAAGCTTATAATGTTTATTGGTCACCAAAAATTGATTCCCTTTCAAAGCATCTTGAAAGCCAATTCTCTTCAAAATCTCATCATAATCTATCATGCACTAAACTTTTTGATGGTTCCAGTAAGTAGCGTTTTCTGTTTCCTTTTCAACACTACATATGCATAGCTATAATTACTACATGTATTTTAAAAATATTTATTTTTTATTTTATGTGTATTAGTAAATTTTGTCTGCATGTATGTCTGGGTACCATGTGCATATATACCCAACAAGGTCAGAAGTGGGTGTTGGCTACCCTGGAACTGGATTACCTACATTTCTTAATTGCCAGGTGGGTGCTGGTAGTTGAACTTAAGTCCTCTGGGAGAATAGACAGTACTCTTAACTATTGAGCTATCTCTCGCTCCTAAAAACCATTGCACTTCCTTAAAACCTTACATGTACAAAAATGGTTAATGGCATTTTCATCATGTTTTATTTGCCAAAGTTATGCAGTACACTATGTATATCCTAACATCATTCTATCTACAGACATGAATATCAAGGTTAAGAATTCGATGAACTGTAACTCCAAAATTGCCCCTTTGTGAACAGAAGTGTTTTAGCTTAATTAGTTTGCAGCATACATCTATACCAAACTGTTAATCAGGATAGGAGATAGCCATTAGAAGGCTTGAAGGTCAATAAGCATGCGCCCCTCCTTCACATCCGTCTTTGGACCCCATCTCATATTTTCCTAGACAACAAAGACAAATAAAAGAAGCTCCACAGTTGTTCTTTCTCAAGAACAAAAATAATACATGAAAGGACAGTGAAAGGAGGTATTAGAGTTTGCCCAAAGCCTATTAAGAGAAAGCTACTTTCCCTTGGCTGAGTTTTATCACTGGTTCTATGTGGACACA